GCAGCCATTGCCCACCTCTCATCCTTCTCTAGCTGCTGGGAAAGTCCCTCAAGCTCCTGCTGTGAAGGTCAGCCAGCTTGTGGGACAGCCCACTGGCAATGATGTTTTCTGGGGAAGAAGACACCTCAAACTCCTACATTTTACATATCTTAGAACTGAAGAGATTAAAGCTCCAGCAGCAGCCAGGACATGAACCGCACTCAGCGTATGGCATTGACAGCCACAGATGACTGACCACTGCCACAAGAAAAGCCCAGTTTTCCTCAAAGGACTACTCAGTTTCCCACTGATTTGGTGCTGGAAATTGCAGAGGAAAGGGATGAAAACTTCTTTATTCCTATTCATCTTTCCCTGTGCCCAGAAGGCTGATATAAATGACAGCCCAGCCACGTGTCACTGGACACATCTTACATGACTTCTCAGGTGTGACCCTTTCAAGAATCTCCCAGCTCCAAGAGCTAGGGGAGTTGGTGCTTTAGCCCATTTGTTTGACCATTAGCCCATCCATTTATTGTTGCCTGGGCTTTGCTACTTTTAAATTGCTCTCTCCTACAACCATTCTGGCTTGGTTTCCCTTTTCACCAGCTTCAATCCCAAACCAAGTGTCATTCCCTGTACCCTGGGCAGCAGAACATATTTGACCAAGGCCAGAAAATACCTTCTATCAGACAGGATATGTCATTTGAGTGGTGGTCCATCCTGCTAGAAACTGGAGCATGCTGCCCTCTGTGAGAGAGGAACCATCACAACCCAGCCCTGCTGCTGGAGGCAGTGGGAGAGCCCAGCACCACTGCCGGGCACAGGAGCGACACTCCAGCTCTTCCCACCTGCGGTGACAGGGTGACAGCTCCTGTGGGCTCAGGGACTGTCCGTGTTCCCAGCCCAGACATGCAGCTGTGCTTGCACCCCCTGTCACCCCACACAACCTGTCACCACGGGGGCTCTGCCCAGAGCCTCCCCTCCCTCTCCTCCTCTGTATCATCTTTAGCTTTGCAAGGAGTTTCTGGCACCAACAAGGAAAAGTCATGTTCCACCTCCCCCCAGTGTCCTGCTGTCCCCTCTTTCTGGAGGAATGCCATTGTTTTCCTGGAATGAAGCTGCTGTGGGACCAGGTGGGTCCCGTGGGCAGGGATATCTCCCACTAGTCCAGGTTGCTCCAAGCCCCATCCAACCTGGCTTTGAACACTGCCCAGGGTTGGGGCATCCATAACCTCCTTGGGCAACCTGTTCCAGTGTCTCCCCACCCTCACAGTAAAAAATTTCTTCCTAATACCTAATCTAAATCTCCCCCCTTTCAATTTGCACACATTCCCTCATCCTGTCACTCCAGTTCCTCACAAGGAGTCCCTCTCCAGCTTCCTTGCAGGTCCCTTCAGATACCAGATGCTGCTGGGAGGTCTCCACACGACCTCCTCTCCTCCAGGCTGAGCAGCACCAACTTTCTCAGCCTGTTTTCACAGGGGAGGTGCTCCAGCCCTCTTACCAACTTGGTGGCCTCCTGTGAACCTGCTCCAACAGTTCCATGTCCTTCTTATGGACATGAAGCTTCCCTACCACCCTCATCTGCTGGCCCAACTCTGCTACGGACCCAGGCCCTGAGCTAGGAAAGCTCAGTCTTAAACTCTCCTCCTAATCCCCTACACTAACTAAGGTTTACTTGAGCCTCCTTCTAGGATCAGTGCAGCAACCAAGGATGAGAACCCTCTTCCCCATCACCTTGGCTGAGTCCTTGCAAATTCCTTCTCCTAATCAATAAATGCATTTGTGGCCAGGACATCACCAGCTGAGGAGTACCTGGGCCCTGCCCATCTTTGATCCAAGAATACTCTGATGAACTGAGCTCATTTAAGCAAAGCATCATCATTATTATGCTACTTTGCAAGCCCTTCCAACTAGAGAGGAGCGGATTCAGGATACTCTGTCTTTAGGATCAACAAGTTATTACCTGATATACAAATTCAGGAAGCTTCAGGAATTTTCTGTAAGTAGATACTTCTCACTTTCGAGTGACTTTTATCTAAATACTTCTTGCATAGGTATCAGTATCACCATTACTTCTAAACTGTAACCACTGGTAGGACTTTCCCCAAAAAAGCAGATCAACTGCTCTCAAGTTATGTACCTGAAGGAAAGCTTAAAAATCAAACAGTCTGTTGAATATATTTATGGAAGAGCTTAATTAAGCTCAGCAGCACATGATTATTCCTTCTCCACTTTTATGGGATCGCTTTGTTGTCAAGCTCCTCCAGGACAGTTCTCAGATCCACAGTTCAGTAGCAAATGTTGCTATTTATTTCTAATTCCTTCTTATCTTTAATGCAACTTTTTCATATGTTTTTTTGGTTTTGTTGTGTTTGGGTTTTTTTATACACCCATTTGTCTCTGGTTTTATCCCATCACCTAATAATATAATTTTTGTATTAGCCCGAAACCTTTTGAAAATTCTTGCAACAAATGTCACAGCTTTGGCCACTTTCATCCTTTTACATTTTGATCTTTCATTGGCAGTGACTGCTGCTCAACTGTGGAGCTCAAGGGCCACAAGACTGAGATTCCTTGGAAAAAAGAAGCCAGTCCTCTCCATTCAGCCTTGGACTCTGGCTCCCCCCGCCCTGCCCAACTCCTAACGCTTGGAAACACCCAGAGATTACAGATGTTTCACTTGCATCTCGAGCTTCGCAACTGAAGAAGCACAAGTGCTTCTTAGTAAGTACAACTGATAAAATATTAACTTGTGTTTTTTTACTAAAAAGAAACAAAAGCCACCTAAATCATAGCAGCTTACAGATCCAAACCGTCCATGGCTTGGGAGCATAGTGTGATTAGGAAGCACGAAAACTGCAAAATATTGGAGCCCTGCAGCAATTCAAATTCATGACACCACCTTCCCGCAGAACAAGTAGTGCTGCCTGGTGCTGCTCTACTGGTTTGGTTCTACTTTGTCCATGGGCAAAATGTGGATTTTCTTCCTTGGTAGAAATGCCGTATCCTCTTTTCCAAAGGGGAGGAAAGGTACAAAGCCCTTTTGATTAGCGCACAGCAGCTCTTTCCCTAATTAGCAATGTTCTTTTACAGCACTGAGAAATGAGGACTTTTTGTTTACCATTAGTTGAGGTAAGTGTATCTTGCTTTTATTTGGGTTTAAGACTACTGTAAAAGGAGTAGCTTTTCAGTTGCAGCATGGTTTGTCAAGATTACAATATTTATGACTGCATAAAATACATAAGTAAAAAAAAAAATTATGATTTGTAGAGTTTGTTATCAAGAGCTGAGACTTACATCTTTACAGAACTGCAAATACTGGCTTCCTAACTGCTAGTTGAATAATTTTGCTGGCAAGAGCATTTGTTAACTCTTTTCTTTAATCTCTACACCCTTTTGTCCAACTGTTGTAAGAACTAGCAAGAAAGTCAGTAGTAACTACGGTTCCACTGCTGTCACAGCATTAGATAAGCTGTACTGATTCTTCATTAAAACACCCTTCGTTTGAAGCTACAACGTAAGAGGCGATTCTTTTTGCTCAAAAGAAACTACTCGCATGCTCTGTGCCTTTAACACTTCACATTGATTACAAAAAATTTAACAATGCAATCACTAACATACCCCACTAATGAGAAATTAGGAGAAACTGCTCGATGCAGAACCCTCTGCATCAGTCCACTCTGATCGATAAGAAAGCTATCAATTTTGAAATTTAGATTTAATGCATTTCCAAGAAGCTAATGAGAAAGGAGCAACTTAAAATAAATACCATCATTAAAACTGCAAACTGTTACAATGATATATTATAAACTTGTCCTAAATAAACCTAGTGCTTCAAAAATTTACCAGTGAATTCGTATTACAAAATATGTGAAAATACAATAGAATACCACAAAACAACGTCCTTTTTTTTGGGGGGGTCAACAATGACGCCAAGATGATTCAGTCTTCACTTTTAAAATCGTTAATAGAACATATTGTAATATATAAGTTGCAATTTGGTTGAAATCTAGAGAACATCCCCACCAATTCGTCGTCTTCATTCCTCCTCTAAAACTAGTGCCAAACTCCCTGTCAAAGCCGGTATTTTCTTGAAGAGCTTTAAAATTTAGCTGTTACTTACTTTCTACTACTACATTTTGGCAGCAACTATTTATTGGTCTGTTATTGCAAAAAGTGCAATTTAACAATAAACCAGTCTGAAGGTCATTCTATGTCTTGAGGATACATACCATATATTTCTTTAAAAATAATCATACTTTTGTAAGCAATACTTTACAGTAGACACCTCAAATCTACCATAGATGTAAAACTTAAAACGAGAAAAATTTAGTCTCTAAATCTTTATACACATATTTATATTCGAGTTTCTATATATATTATATATATACACAAGCACAAGAGTATATATAAAATATATATAATCAGATTCAAAAAAGAACAAAAACTGGGCACTGTACATAAAATCTTTTTAAAACTCAAACAATAGAAAAACTTTAAACATTAAACAATTTTAATAAAAGTTTCTGTACAATGCTAAGCAGTTTTATTTACATATAGAAAATGTAATAGGAGTAGTGTTTGAAATTACAGAACTCCTTAAAATTTCAATGGCAGGTAATCTGGAAAAAATAACAGCATTCCATTCACAAATATTTTCAAGCAATAAATATGTATTTATAAATAGTGTAAATTTACATCAAGATTAGAAACAAAAATCACAAATCTGAAGTTTATTCCTTAGTCTATGTGCAACCCATTTATCTTTGTGACTTGGCTGTTAATTGTTTTAA